TGCTGCGTGCAGGCTTCCTCTAGTTGTGGCGAGTGGGTACTACTCTTCATTGTGGTGCATGGGCTTCTTGTTGCGGTGGCTTCTCTTGTTGTGGAGCACCAGCTCTAGACGTGCGGGCTTCAGTAGTTGTGGCACGCAGGCTCAGTAGTTGTGGCTCGTGGGCTCTAGAGCGCAGGCTCAGTAGTTGTAGCTCACGGGCCTGGTTGCTCTGCGGCATGTGGGATCCTCCCAGACCAGAGATCAAACTTGTGTCCCCTGCATTAGCAGGTGGGTTCTTAACCACTGCGCCACCAGGGAAGTCCCCAGTTATTGTATTCTTTACCTTTGTTTTCTTCATTATATTTTCTCTGTTAAAATTTTCACTGTGTTCATCCATTCTGTGTTCGCTGAGCATCTTTACGATTATTACCTTGAACTCTCTACTGAGTAGCTTGCTTATCTCCCCTTTGTTTAGCCCTTTTTCTGAGTCCTTTTTCTGAGTCCTTTGTCTTGTTCCTTTATTTGGAACATATTCCTCTGTCTCCTCATTTTGCAGATTTTGCTGTGTTTTTTTTTCTGTGTTGGGTAGGTCAGTTATGTTGGCTGATTTTGGAGAAGTGGCCTTTTGTAGGTGACATTCTATGGGGCCCAGCAGCACACTCCCCTCTGGTCACCAGAGCTATATGCTCTAGGGCAGCGGTCCCCAACCTTTTTGGCACCAGGGACTGGTTTCTTGGAAGATAACTTTTTCGTGTGTGGTAGGGGGGAGGGATGGTTCAGGCGGTAATGTGAGCGATGGGGAGCGGCAGATGAAGCTTTGCTCGCTCGCCCGGTACTCACCTCCTGCTCTGCAGCCCGGTTCCTAACAGTCCCCAGCCCAGGGGTTGGGGACCCTGGTCACTCTAGGGTGTAAGGTGTGAGCCCTACATGAGCTGCATGGGTCCTTCTGTTTTGGTGAGGCTGACTGCTAAGGGTGCTTGCAGAAGACACAGTTTTGTTTTTTTTTAATCGAAGTATAGTTGATTTACAGTGTTGTGTTAATTTCTGCTGTACAGTAGAGTGAGTCAGTTATACATACATATATATATATACACTTTAAAAAAATATTCTTTTCCATTATGGTTTATCATAGGATATTGAACATAGTTCTCTGTGCCATACAGTAGGACTTTCCTACTTATCCATTCCATATACAGTAAGGCCCCTACATACGAATGAGTACCATTCCAAGAGCCCATTCATAAGTCCATTTTGTTTGTAAGTCCAACAAAGTTAGTCTACGTACCCAACTAACACAATCAGCTATATAGTACTGTACTGTAATAGATTTATAATACTTTTCACACAAATAACACATAAAAAACAAACACACACACAAAAAAAACATTTTTAATCTTATAGTACAGTACCTTGAAAAGTACAGTAGTAGAGTACAACAGCTGGCATACAGGGGCTGGCACTGAGTGAACAGGCAAGAAGAGTTACTGACTAGAGGAGGGAGAGGAGGTGGGAGATGTCAGAGCTGAAGGATCGTCAGCAGTAGGAGACGGAGGGCAAGCTGGAATTTCACTCACGCCTGATGTCGATGGCACAGGTTCTGGTTCCTTGCTGGATTCAATTCTATCTACCCTCTTGAAAAAACGATCCAGTGACGTCCGGGTAGTAGCTCTTTTTTTTCTTGTCATAGATGACACGGTAGCACTGGATTGCATTCTGAATGGCGGCTGCAACCTTCCTGTACTGTTCTATGTTTGCGTCCTGTGCCTCAAAAACTAACAGTGCCTCCTCAAATAAAGAAAATCCCCTTGCCATTTCCTGTGTCGTGAATCTCTTCGGTTCTTCAGTTTCTTATTCTTCCTGTTGTTGCTCCACTCTCAATTATTTTCATTTTTGTTTCCATCGTTATTGCTTGGCGTTTCTTAGCAGTACCACCTATATCACCACTGCTTTCACACTTGCTTCCCGACATCCTGGGCTTGAAATAAAGATACTGTACTACTGTACTCTATACAGCAGGGGTCCCGGAACTGGGCTGCACAACAGGAGGCGAGCGGCAGGCAAGCAAGCAAATCTTCATCTGCTGCTCCCCATCGCTTGCATTACTGCCTGAACCATATCCCCCCCCACTCCCCACCTGTCTGTGGAAAAATTGTCTTCCACGAAACCAGTCTCTGGTGCCAAAACGTTTGGGGACGGCTGCTATACAGTGCTCTACAGTAAAGTACACAAAAGCTCAACCTGTTGTAGAGGATGCATGCATGTTACAATGTATTCCAGACACGTGAACAAACTTACGTGATTAGACGTGCAAATGCATGTTCGTATCTTTGAAAGTTTGAAACTTGAAGGTTCGTATGTAGGGGACTTACTGTATAAAAGCCTACATCTGTTAACCCCAGCCTTCCACTCCATTCCTCTCCTAACCTCCTCACCCTTGGCAACCACCAGTCTGTTCTCTATTTCCGTGATTCTGTTTCATAGACAGGTTCATTTGTGTCATATTTTAGATTCCACATATAAGTGGTATCATATGGTATTTGTCTTTCCCTTTCTGACTTGGAGGCCGGGCTGTCCCCAGCTCAGTAGGCTGCCAGTCCCTGCCTCATGAGTGGCTGCTGCTCTTTCCAAATCCCTTTCTCAAATGAAAATAATCGGTCTCCTTTATTGTCCCACTTTATGCCTTGTGACGTAAATGTGGGAAAATTATTAGACCACTTCCTTTGTTTCAGTTTCTAGTATATCAGTACTGGTAAGAGTAAGGTATCTGGTCTAAATTAGAAATATTGACAAGTATTGCCAGATAGCCATTTGGGACATGAAGTGTTAGATTCTTTTGGTCTTTTGATCACTTCCATTTATGTAAGATTTTTTAGAACTGCTTTAATTCTTTCAGGTCACCAAAGTGCTGTCTAATACAACACAGTGCCTTATTACTGAGGATTTATTTATTTAGTTTTTTATGATTGCACCATTTGAAAGGTATGTTGGGCAGTGAAACAACCTAATTTAAAGTAAACTTTTATTTTCATGTCAAGAACTGTGAAGGTTTGCGATTTTACCCTACTTGCAATTTAACAAGTTTCACAAGTGCTTTCAGAAGACACAGTATTCCTGGGTCAGAGTCAAAGGATAGACTACTACTTACAGCAACAGAAGTAGCCAGAGAAACAGCATTTGCACGAGCTCCCGGAGCCTCACTTCTCACAAAGATATACAAAAAGGGCTGGGTGACATCTGAGTCCTTATGAGGTGGCATTACAGGAGAACCTTGAGCTTAGGGAACCTTAATCTTTTGAAATGGGCAGTAAGCATATCTGCCCTTTGCTTTGGAGGGAGACACTCTGTCTTCCTGTACACAGACATCCTTGAAAAGATAGTCTGTAACAGAGGCAGTTAGTGCTTCTGTTGGAAAGATAAGCAGAAATGTGAGAGATGTAAAGAATTATCTTTCAACATTTTTGGAAGGCAGAAAACCATATAGATATTTGTAAGATAGACTTAAATAAGTGGCATAGATTTCGGATTGCAGAGTATGGCCTAAGAAATTTTCCATAGAAAATAGTGATCTTTTTACATATATCTTCAGTTTCCTCTTTTGTAGCTTTTTTTCTGGTTTACCTGCTGTCTCGGAGACCTCCATGAATATTAGACTTGCAATGATAGCTTTCCTTGGGAAAGATTACTGTGGATCCATTTTCTGAGTGGTGTATTATTCACTGTTTTTCCTTAGTAGTCAAAGATATCCAGACCTCTGTTTGGGGGAGTTTGTGTTTTCCTTCCTTGAACCAATGCTTCTGTTTCAAAGTTCAAATAAATGAAGGCAAGTAAAATGACAATTATGGTATCATTTAAATTTAGTAAAAATTCACTGAGGCATAACATTTTAGACAAAAGACATTAAAAATGATGGAGCTTGTTGGTGACCCAGGGCAAGTTCAGTTATTCAGACTGGATTTCTAAGAGGTCTCTGAGACTAAAATTCTTCAAAGTGGAACTTCATTGTGTACTAGAACACAAATATAGCACTTCATTACAAAATACCCTCAGGCAAAGAACACATAGGGACTTTGCTGCCCTCTAGACTAGAGGTCTTTGTCATAGATAAAGGGGCTCTAAATCTGGGAACTTGGATGGGGGGATGGCTTGGGGCATTCAGTCCTATCAGTGCTTAAACTCCAAGCAAACAGCAAAAACAAAGAACCTAACATCGGTAATGTTTTAGGTCAGCATGATCTCTTTTAAGTTATTTTGCATCTCTCTAAATTTGACTTGGTTGATCATCTTTTTGGCTTTGTGGTATTTTACTATTCTGATTCTACTTCTCTATCTCTGCCTAAACCATCGTTTGTTCCTATACTCCTCAAATGATCGACTTCCCTAAGATTGAGACGTCAACCCTCATTCTTCCATCCCTGATCCCTCTCTAGCTTCCCTTTTATAGGTGTCTTCTACTCCTGTAATATCAGATCTCGTGTGTGTATACATAACTCTGAAGTTTGATTCTGTCTTGAATTCCAAAACCACATTTCTGACTGCCAACTGAACATTTCCTTCAAGATGTTCTGCCAATACCTTACAAAACTTGTAACTCTGGTTTGTGTGTATTAACAAAAAGGGCAGGGTGAAAGGTATGTTACTGGTTTAATATTTTACTCTTTTCAAAGAAATTCTCCAAACAGGTTATTTTGACAAACCTTTATGGTCTTTTTTGCAGAAGTTGTTTTGTAAACTTTATTTCACATATGTAAAATATCTGTCTTTTCATATTTCATAGCAGTTTGTCATATTTTTACCACCAAAACTAAGCATTTAGATTTTTGCCTTCATCCCCCACATTATCCCTTCTCCCTCCCCACCCTCCCGCCACTGTACACGCACGCACGCATGTGCACAAACACACAAAATTTTAAATGTTATAATATGCATGAGCTTTGGGTTTTTTGTTATTATTTTTATTGGTAATGGTTCAGTGTGTATTTATGAGGTGGAAGACAAAGCTTGTGCTACTTTTCTCTTTACAGGTCTTCATGCCTTGAGGAGAGTCTTGAGGAAACACCCTAACCTCCCTGACAGTAAGATGGCTGGGTTGGTGAAGATTACTCTGAAAGATTTCTTGCAGGGGATGAATGACATCAGGCCCAGTGCCATGAGGGAGGTAGCAATTGATGTCCCAAATGTAAGTCATTTGTACCCTCATGCTAGCCACACTGTTTGAATTAAACTCTGAAAGAAACTAAGACCCCAGGGAAACTACCTTCCTAAGCTAAACTTAAAAAAATTTTTATGGAGATAATTGTAGATATAGTACAGTTGTAAGAAATACTTTAGGGAGAGTGTATGTATCCTTTACCCAGTCCCTCCCGCAATGGTAACATCTTACAAAACTATAATACAGTATCACAAGCCAGGATATTGATAGAATCATCGATCTTTTGCAGATTTCCCCAGTGTTGCCTGTACTCATTTATGTGTACGTGTGTGTCTGTGTATTTAGTTCTGTGCAGTGTTATTACATGTAAAGTTTTGTGTATCCATCACCAGAATCGAGATACTGAGGATTTCCATCACCACAATGATCCCTTACTTTGCCCTTTCATAACTACACCCACCTTGTTCATGCATCCATTTCCAAAATTCTGTCATTTCAGAAGTGTTGTGTAAATGGAATTATACATTATATAATTGTTTAGGATTAGTTTTTTTCACTTACTGTAATTCCCTGGTGATTCATTCAAGTTGTTATATATCAATAGTTTGTTCCTTTCTTTTGCTGAGTAGTATTCCATGGTATATATGTACAACGGTTTGTTTAACCATTCACCAGTTGAAGGACATCTGGCTTGTTTCCAGTTTGGGGCTATTATGAATAAAGCTTCTATGAACATTTTTCTACAGGTATTGTGTGAATATAAGTTTTTATTTCTCTGGAACAAATACCCAAGTGTAGTACAGTTACTGGGTTGTATACTAATTCCATGTTTAGTTTTTACCAGAAAATGTCAACTAGGCTAATTTTAGAACAAAAAAACATCTTCTAGTTATGATACTTTCTACTAATGATGCTTGATGTTTCCTTGGGTTCTTTTACATATACTTCATCATTGACTGTCTCTGCAGAGTTTTCAGTGAGATCACCACAAGGGCAACAGAAGTTACCTTTTATGCATGGAGCACCTGTTACGTCACCTGTGACACACATGGGCCTAATATTCGGGGGTGGGGGATGGCTTTATAGTTTTCTTTGAATATATTAATATTTTTAGAAAATGAACATTGAAACAAGCATTGGCAGTGTGTTCTGCATTATATTGTAATATGTCAATATGTATTTTGAAGTGTCAAAAGAGAGCTGTTATTTAAACTTATTTCACCATGGACCACGTGGAGCAGAGACTTGCAGCATTTGCAGTGTGGTGGATTGCAAAAAATGACCACAAATTCTTCCCTTCACTGTGTTTGCCCTTTTGCACTGCAGTCTTGTAGCTCCTACTCTAAACGCTAGGGAGTCAAGTTTTCCATCCTTGAATCTGCACTTGGCCATGTAACTTGCTTTGGCCAGTGGAGTGTTAGCAGCCATAATGCAAGCAGGCTTGAAAGCGCTTAGGGCTTGCCTTCTCTTGCTGGTCTTTGCCATTGCATTAGCTTTGTTAAGAAATCTGTACTAGCTTCCTGGAGGATGAGAGACTGTGTGAACAGGGATGAGCCTTCCTAGTTGAGATCCCCTCATTCTAGTCATCACCAATTGTCAGACATGTGATGCCATGCTAGACTATCCCACTCCAATCAAAGTTTGCCCCAACCAGGAGAAACCAGTTAACCCTCAGAATTGTCAGAAATGATAAAGTTATTTTGAGCCGCTAAATTTTACGGTCATTAGCAAAAGCTAAGTGAAGCAGGCACTTGTTAGCTTCTTATAGAACACAGTTGTTTTGTAAGTTTAGGCTGGGAAACAGTACCCTGGAGATAAGAACATTCCCAAGGACTAACTGCTAGTTTAGGCTGCTTAATGTGATTTTGAATTCTTTTTGAAACATTTTCAAATTTACTACTGAAAGCTCAACTTTGGGGTTTTTCAGAAGCTCTGTAGCAGAACATGCTCATTTCATATGAATAATTTGACAAATGGAATTATAGAATGAAGAATGATTGATGTTGGGTTAGTAGAAACTTCACTTCTTTGGAACTTATGGTCTAAAGTTCGGGGACATTGATTGGTATGAATACCGATATTGGTATGAATATTTGCAGTACTTATCTGTATTTTATTGGGTACTGTAACATAATATAATGGGTCAGGTAGACACCTAATCATCAAATGCCTCATGTGAAAATTTCAGGGGATAGGGTTATAACCAACTGCACCATCCCCAGACATTTTAGTGATTAAAAAAGTTTAGGGGCTAAGGAAACCTACAGTCAGCTTTTAAACCTAAAGTTATTGCCAATGAAGAATGTGTTTAAGCAGTGGCTGTCCACTCTTAGAACTGCTGAACTGATTTATTCATCATAGGAACTGGTACTACAGCTGCACTTTTAATTGCTCTAATGAAAGAGTTTTTCCTTTATTTTCTTTTGATACAGTATTTACAACCCATGGACTTGTGCCATTTTCCATTTGGCGTTTCATTATTTGGTCTGAGTCCATGGTGTACTATGATGTTACTCATGAGCTCCAAAGTGATTAGCCTTGGTCAGAGGACTTTCTTACATTGCTTTTCATGCTCACTTCAGATTGTAAAAATTTTCCTGAGAAGTCAACATTTCTGTAATTGGATTCCTAAAGTTCACTCTTCTGATTTCTGGCTATTACACCTACAAAAATATCTCCAAATTATTTCTGCAGAAGATTTAATATTTATTTTGCTATAGAAAACCTGTTTAAAGTAGCTAGTTAATTGCGGCTTTTTTTTTTAATAGCAAAGTGAGCATTCAGCATCTTTTGAGAAAAGATTTTAGCGTGTGAAATTAAACCTTCTAAATCACACTTGCTAACGTTTGAAAGAAATGTCTTAAGGTTGGAGTGTTGCCAATTATAATATAGTGCATTATTAATTTCAGGAGACCACAAGTGTTAGCCACTTACTTAAATGTAATGTTTCCTTTTTTTGGACTTTCTGAATTGGTGATTATACCAATTGGTGTGTTAAAAGTCAAATGTATTTTACAATTAATCAGTGATGAAAGTCAAATATATTTCTTTACTTGAGGAATCCTTAGAATCTTTGAATATGCTAATATGCATTGTGAAATTTCAGTTTTTCACCCAGAGATAACTGTTAATATTTTGTCACAGTTCCAAGAGATTTTTTAGAATTTTATAGATTTTCTTCTGTGCATATAGGTATTTTAATATAGTTAATCTTAGGATATATATAGTTTTATGTTCTGCTTTTATCATTTAAAGTTATATGATAAATGTTTTACTCTAAAATTTCCTGGCAAACATCTTTTTATTGACAGCATAATAGACTGTTACGTTGATAAACTGTAATTGTTTTATCTTTCTTCCATTCTCAGAAATTTAGGGTTTTTTTCTATTTTTCTCTCATATAGTTATAAACATAGTTGTGTCCAAATCTTTGCATTTTTGATTTTGATGAAGTGGAATTACCAGACTAAAATATGTGATTTTTAAAGTTTGTGACAAATATCGTTTTCTTTTTTTTACCCCAGAAAGGTTGTTCTAATTTTTCATCATGTGATAAAAATGTAAAATTGCAAAGAACTTAAGCAAAATCTCATTTTATTTTCACTTTAGTCCTTTTCTCTTTTTACTTTCCACTAGATTATTTTCTTCACTGAAAAGTTCTTTATTACAAGGAATAATACTGGATAAGTTTTAGATGAATAGAGATTTAAAAAGAAAATGAAAGGTAGCTATCAGTTATGTCTCTTCTCCTCCCTATAAAAATGTTAAATTTTTAGATCGGGGTATATCTGGATGGCTTTTAAATGAATTTGAAGTTCCATAAGACCAGAGGTTCTTACTTTTTATTTTTATCCTTAGTACTTAGCATAGGACTAGCACATAATAGATGTCCAATCAGTATTTGTTGAATAAATGAGCAAATAACTATAATTTTCATGAAAAAACATATTAGATGGTCAATTTCAGATATTTGAAAAATATTTTAAAAAGAGTGTATCATCCTTCTTCTGTACCAAAGTACAATATAGGCCATTATTACCCTCATGAAACACTCTTCATATTTTTCATATTTTATAAAGCAACTAATTAGTGAATTTACTACTGTTAGTGAACTTAACAGTTTTGGAATACAGATGTCTATAATAGTGTTAAGCTGTCTAGTCTGGAAGGATATACAGTAATCCTTTATATTTTATGCAGAACATGTTGCTTTCTTTTTTTTTTTTTTTTTTTTTTTTTTTTGGTTGGGGGGCTCACTGTTGTGTCCTCTCCCGTTGCGGAGCACAGGCTCTGGATGCGCAGGCTCAGCGGCCATGGCTAATGGGCCCAGCTGCTCCGCGGCATGTGGGATCTTCCCGGACCGGGGCACGAACCCGTGTCCCCTGCATCGGCAGGCGGACTCTCAACCACTGCGCCACCAGGGAAGCCCTGCTTTCTTGATCCATTAAAAATTCTCATTGTATTAAGGTAAAGAAAAAAATATAGTGCTTTTAATACTTGTATTTATATATTATTGTTGCAATCAGTCATTGTGTATACGTCACAACAATCATTCCTGATAAAAGTCATTCTTAGCCAAATATATACAAATTAATTCCATCAAGTTTATGTAATTCATATATGCATCTTAACAATCCCCTCCTCCTGGCTTTCTCTATTTTATTTTATGTAGTTTTAGGTTATCCTTTATTATATGGAAATAATCCATCTGTACACTTTTTTTTTTTTTTGCGGTACGCGGGCCTCTCACCGTCGTGGCCTCTCCCGCTGCGGAGCACAGGCTCCGGACGCGCAGGCTCAGCGGCCATGGCTAATGGGCCCAGCTGCTCCGCGGCATGTGGGATCTTCCCAGACCGGGGCACGAACCCGCGTGCCCTGCATTGGCAGGCGGACTCTCAACCACTGCGCCACCAGGGAAGCCCCATCTGTACACTTTTGATATTACCTTTGGATTGCAGTTTTCAGAATTTGGACCTTTGGTTCAGAATAAGCCAAAAGCCAATTAAAAAAATAGGACTCTACTTTCA